GTGTGGCCAGAGGAGGAAATGAGAATGTGCTTGCGAGGAAAGAAACTCACAGATTCCAGAAGAGGGCCACTGCATGCCGTCTAGGGGTGCAGGGGAAGTAGCAGGGTTTGAGTGAGGGCAATGTCTAGGTCAGAGACTTTGCTGGGGATCCAAGGAAAGGCAGAACAAACAGCTCAGGACTGGCTGGTTTGAATAGCTCTTGCATGCTTTGGGTCATGTGGGCTGACTCTTGCTGTCTGGTCCTGACACTGGGCTAATGTGGGGCAGGGAGATACTAGCCTGATAGGAAAAAGTATGATAAGGTGCTTGGGAACCTGAGTTTGTGAATGGCAGGCCTGGACCTCGCTGAGCTCTGTGTTATTTAAGATGTGCAGGCGATAAGCAGAGCGGGCTCTCCAGCCACAGAGGCCATGCATGCCACAGCATCAAGAGTATCATTCCCCTGTGTGAAATGATACCCCCCCCCCCACACACACACATACCAACAGTTAAGTCAAAGCCAAGTTTCTACGCTGGATGCATAAGTAGAATTATTTTGCTGTTTCCTTCCCTATTAAGAACTTAAAACTTAAAAAAAATCCATATCCTATATATAAAAGAGGAAAAAGTAATTTTATGGTGAAAGCACCACTTCTTTATGTTTAGAATGAAGTGTTTTACTTACACACAATGAAACACACTTTGGGGTTTCCAGTTAGGATTTTTTTTTTATTGTTTCATAGGTTCTTGGATTCCCCCAACCCCTCCCCAAGCCATCCCCCATATTGAGTTCCACCATATTGTTACATTAGTACAGTTTATAACCAGTCATGATTCTTTCGTTGCGGGCAAGGACCATGCTGAGAGTCCAGCATCTTATTGTCCAGATAAATTCAACAGTTTCTTTGGGAGACCATCCTTGGTCTGAAAATAGAACTGGCAGAATATCATCCCCTCCAATGAAAAGCCACTACACAACTTCAACATCAGGAAGAAACATGGAAATTTATAACATCATAAAGTTAACTGACATGGTATTGAGTGACAAATATGTTAGAAAATTCAGGTTCTAAACCACATCCTGTAACTACTTCATTGATATTTCAATTTTAGTTTATAACAACCGGCTGCTATAAACCTTAAAATGGTTATAGGGTACTATACAGCTGTCTCATGTCTATTTTCAGTTTTTATATTTAGCAGCTTATAGTATTCCAGCGTGATTTTTATTGAACTTCATGAATTTTAGGGTAGTCCAAACAGGCTTATAACTCTAGCATCCATATGTTAACAATTGAGGAGCAGAACAGTTTTAGGAGGGGTATGCAGAGAAATCTTGAATATCTTAGTGAGGAGTACCAGTTAGGAGTTTTGACAAATGTATAGAGTTACTTGATCACCACGAGTCAGAATTCTAGAATGTTCTATCAGCCTTCTTTCCACCCTGCCCAAATTCCCTCATGCTGCCCCTGCGGAGTTGACTCTTCTTCCCACCTTCAGCCGTTGGCATTCACTGATCTGTGCTCCATCCCTGTAGTTTGCCTTTCCCAGACAGACAATAAGTGGACCACCATACTAAGAGGTCTGATGTCCGTTATTTAACATAAAACATTTGGGTTACATTCATGTTTTGGGGTGTGTCAACAGTTCTTTCCTTTGTTAAATAAAAAGTCTAAGAGATCCTAACAGACCAGGGTGAGAGTCATTCACGTTGAAGTCCCACATTACCAAAGGAAACTAAGTTGTCTGGCTTTCTGACAAATCCAGAAAAATAGATAATAGCCAGTTTCCAAGTAGACCAGTGTCAGCATGATCAGGAAACCCCTGTGTTTTAATCCTTACCAATAATAATAATAATAATAATAATAATAATAATAATACACTGAAATAATCTGATGTTATCCGATCAGTTGCTTTCCCATTGTTCTTTCTTCTTGTTCTGCCTTGGAAGGGAAGTAATGCTGAGTGACCAGTTATGTATTGTTCGTCATTTCTGTCTTCTTTAGCCCTTTTCTGCCTAGAAAATCAAGTTCCTCTGCCTAATGCCTTAGAACATTCTGGAGTAAAGGGTTGCTCAATTCAAGAATTGCCAAAACAATTTGGATATTTAAATTGTTGTGATTCTGTCTGACACTTTTGATTGCTTAACTACTCCATGTTAGAGAGGTGTCAGTTTAGGGAAGGACAAATTGTTTCTAGGTTAAGGATTGAGAATAAAGCTGTGATAAATATTCACATATTAGGGTAGGTATTTAGCCTAATGGCTCATATATCAGCACAGCATGTCGCAGAGCTTGAATTTGATGCCTAGCTCCTGACTTGCACTTCCTGCTAGTGCAGACCCTGGGTGGCAGTGATGATGACTCAAGTAACTGGATTGCTGTCGCCTGTGTGGGAGACTCGGTTTCAGTTCCTGGCACCTGACCGTTGTGCAGCCCAACAGTCACTGTTGTGGAGCAAGGAGCTGGAGTTATAAGCACAGCCAGAACTCAGATTCAGGGATTCCTACCCAGGGACTCTGGCAGGGAATGTGGATGTCTCAGGTTGTGTCTCAGCTGCAGTGCTACACTCTCACCCTTTCACCAACTTTTGAAGACCCCAAGTGTTTACTGTTGTAAACTTACTTTGCACCAGAATCTACTTATTTTTAGCAGCTCTGCTTCAGGATTGTTTTGTTTTGTTCCGTTGATCTCTCCTTCTCTTTTAAAAATGTATGTACTTTTTGTTTAATTGGAAGGCGGAATTACAGAGAGAGGGGGAGAGAGACAGAGAGAAAGAGATTTTTTTTTTCATCTTCTGGCTCACTCCCCAAATGGCCACCATGGCTAGAGCTAGGTCAAGCTAAGACAGGAACATGGAACTCCACCTCAATCTCTCACATGGGTGGCAGAGCCTAAGTAAGTACTTGAGGCATCTTCTGCTTTTCCAGGCACATTAGCAGGAACTGGGCTGGAAACAAAACAGCTGCTACTTGAACTGGTGCTTATATAGATGGGCAGCATTGCACATGGCAACTTTAACCACACAGCACCACAACAAAATTCCCTCCATTAATCTCTCTGTCTGTCCTTTGTCATCCCTACATTGTTAGGTAACTGTAGTTTTACATTAAGATTTGGAACCAAGTAGTCATGTGCCTTGTCCTTTTTCAAAATTGCTTTATCTACTCTGTAACTTTTGCATTTCCTTATGAATTTTAATCAGCCTGTCAATTTCTATTAAAGTAGATTACTGGGATTTTCGTTTGGATTGCTGTGAATCTGTAGATTGATATATAAGAATCTTGAATCTGCAAATATCTTCCATACATTTTTCATTTTAACTTCGAACTTTCCATTTTTCTGGTGTTGTCATCCTGAGTCCCCATGGCTGCAGAGATTCCTGCATCCCTGAGATGTTTAGTTGAGTGGAGTAGGAACTACACAAACTGGAAGAAGCTGTGTCTGAAACTCCAGCCTTTGGGGCAAGGTCACGTCTATGTCCCACATGGCTGTGTGTTACGTGTTTTTTAACCAGGTGTTAATGAAACTGTTAAGTATACCTTGACAACAAAATACTAGACTCTCTACCATTGCTTAACCTACAACATCATGAGACGTAGAAGATTGAGATTTTTCCCCCTATCTTAAACTCAAATTATAGAAACAGTTTTTTAGATTCCTAAACTGTTTTCAGAAATGAAAAAGTCATATAACCTGATAAGGCTAATATAGTGAGGGGTAGCAAATTGCACTAGCACTGGGGCCACGGAAAGTAGAGCCTTCCTGTTTTGTGGTTTATCTATCCCAGTGCATAGCATTTATTAGCAGTTCGACATCAGTGTCTACCAAATGAATAGGTCAAATTTGTGGTAAAATAACCTTTGGACCCTAATCTATATTGTTTTCATTCTAGTGAGGCTATGTCAGCTGATTGTTACTATAGAGTAACTGAACAAAATCCTTATTCTTACATCCTATAACCAAGGATCAATTTTCAGTATAAACATAGGGTGAAGAAATACAAAGTCAACAGTTAGAAGCTGTGAGGAGACATGTTCAGAGATGGGAGAGTGGAATCAAGGGTGCGATATAGTTCCTGGGATAGAGAGCCGGGAACACACCCAAGCCAGGACTGCTACAGAAATGTAATTAGGGCTGGTTGGGAATGCATCGACTCCCTTAAAGATGTGTGATATTTGTTCAGTAGCAGGATTGTGAGTTTATAAAATCTTACTCTCTATAAACTCCAAATGTCTTCTTGTAAGATAAACAAGGACATCAGTTTTCTTCATGGGGTGGGTTGGGATTGGTACAGTTAGATTTTTTAAAAATGTATTTGAAAGATAAAGGGAAAGAGAGACAGAGATCCTTCATTCATTCTTCAAATGCCCACAACAGCTGGAGCTGAGACAGGCCAAAGCCAGGAGCCAGGAACTCATTCCACATCTCTCACATGAATGGCAGGGACCCAAGTACGGAACTGTCACCTGCTGCTGGCATCAAAAGTGGAGCTGGTACTCAGACTCAGGAGCTCTGATATGGGATGCAGGCATTCCAAGCAGTGTCTTAATTGTTATGCCAAATGTCTCCACCCAGTATTTTCAGCATACTCTGTATATCCGCATATTCTAATTTTATTTGTATACATACCTACCTACCCTTCATGGGGTTTCTCAACCCTAGATTTTTAGGCCTTAGCAAACATGATTTTAGTAGCCAAAAATTATACCTCAGCTTGGAAACTTGAAAAAATAAATTCACTTAAAGCAAGGGCTGACCTGTATGTGACTTAGAACTGAGCACCCTGCCTCAGATTACTATTTTCTGGCAAGCTACATTGTCCCATGAGTATTTCTTGTTCAAAGGGGAAATAAATAGAAAGAGATTTTCCAGTGTTTCTCTGCTGGGTATGGTAACCATTTTTGGATAGAAATGCCAGGTAAGGCAAATTTGAAGCACTGTTTAAATGATAGCAGAACCTAGAGGAACATTCCAGTGTTCTATGAGGAATTGGTTTTGTTTTTTTCCCCATACTTCTAGATCATCATGTTAAACTCTGTTTCTGACCTTCATGGCTACATTGACCGAAGCCAGCTGACACAGGAGCTGGGGGGAACTCTGGAATACCGCCACAGCCAGTGGATCAACCACCGCACTGTGAGTACTGGCTGATCTGTGCTCTCAATGCCTCTTGTTGTTTTGCAGAATCACAGCCCACGAGTTCCTAAGGGGGGAAGGCTGGGGTTTCACAGCCATAGGCTGGGTGGAGAACTTGTGAGAGGGCAGGGGCTGAGGTTCCCCTGCTGACTGCCTTCACTTTAGCCCTGCTGCAGCTTCCTTGCATGCATGAAGGCTTTGGAAAAGTCCATTAGAGCATGCTTATGGTTCAGGGAGTTGGGGAAGGGGGTGGAGAAAAATACCATTGCCTCAGAGAAATGAGTGTACTCATGAGGTGGACCTCGGATATTCATGTTTCACAAAATTCTCCAGATGACTGTAATGAACGTACAAGTTGAAACTGGAGGAAGTTACCTTTAAATGTTGTCATGATCATTGTTTGATCTTGCAACAGTTGGGTTACTAAGCCTCTCTCTGCTTGTTTCCTCCCCCTCTTACTCAGTGTTTCTCAGCTGGGGGTAACTTAGCCAACAGAGAACATTTGTCAGTGTCACGAGGTGGTTTTGTAACCTGGGTGTAGGGTGAACTGGGCTGGGCATACTACTGGCATCTGGTCAAAAAGTCTGTTTAAAGGGACTCTGTACAAGGCACAAGACGGCACGTGAAGAATTAGCCAGCTCCAACGTTAATGGCACCGATGTGGGAAAACCATGGGCTCATGAAAGCAACATGAAAGCTCAGTAGGGAAAATAAATGTCATTTATTGTCCATGAAAACACCTGTCTGATAGTCTTTCACTTTTCTCTACTTACTCGTATTGGTTGTTACTATGCTAAACTGGAGGGATCAAGAATGTGGAGGAAATTCATCGAATAATAGCTATTTCTGCCTGTTTCCGTTCTCCTAGCCCCCATGCCCTTAGAAAGGTCAGATTTCTTAAGTAAAATCAGAGAGTTCTTAAACCACTCTGATGACAACTTGTGACATCCATATTTCTCTCTATCTCAACTTGGAAACATGTTAAATCAGAATCATTTACTAACAAACACCTGAATTTCATTAAATTATAAATGAGAATTTACCATTTTATTTATTTTTACAAGTCATTAAAAATTTTTGTTTTGAAATGCAGGTAGGAAGAGAGTAAGAGATACCTTCTCTCTGCTGGTATTCTTCACAAATACCGGCAATGGCAAAGGCTGGGCCAGGTCAAATTTGAGAGCCAGGAATTTGGTCTGGGTCTCCCACATAGGTGGCAGGAACTTGATTATTTGGGTTATCACCTCTGCTTTCCATGGTGCAGGAAGCTGGATTCAGAAGCAGGGCTAGGATTTACCCATGACCGTGACATGGATACAGACATCCCAGGTAGCGTCTTAACACTGTGTGTTTTATTTCAGAGTTACATACAGATTCTAGTCCCTCTCTCACTTCTCTGTGGGTCATGAAATTCCAGGAAAGACATGACCTTTCCCAAAATCTAGAAGGCGACCCACAAAGCTGAGCTAGAATCCTTTACATTTGTGGTTAGTTTGACCATAGTAATGGTGAAACTTGGGAAGAAAAGTCTAATTTTCGGAAAGTCCAAATCTGAAAAATGTGAGGGAAGCAGATGCCGAGTGTTATGAATGAGTGTGGTGAGGGACAGCTCAGGCTGTGAGTCCATTAAGCCACATGCCACGTGGAGCTTGGAGTGCATGAAGGCTAGTTTTCTTTATTTCCCAGAATGTGATAGCATCAGTCATGTATGATTGAATTTATTGTCGCAAACATCTTACTAAACAAGCCAGTTCTTTATTGCTCTGACTTCTACTAATCCTGTATTTTACTTTGTTGCTTATCTTTTCCAAATCACTTCAGCTGTTTTTGGAAACAAGATAATTTTCCAACAAATAAATAAAAAAAATTTCTTTAAAAGGTAGGACAGCTGTAGTCATGAACATAAAGACTGATACTATAAGAGATGGGGTAAGCAGATGTTCACACACTTCCCATTGCCTTCCCCCACCACATGCCTGACATGCAGCCGGGGGGTGGTTGGTGTGTCCACACTGAATGTATTGCAGTAAACTTTACCCAATGCAACTAGTATTGAAAGATCAGAGAGATTATATGCATGCAACATGTTTCTTATGTGAATATTTCATATCATTAAAGTGACAGAATCAAAATGAAAAACACATGCATACTGCTTGATATGCTTTTAAAACTCTGAATTCTGAATAGCTTTAGATGAACAAAACAAAAACGGTGTAGTGGAGTTTCCTTATACTCACCCCCATTTTCCCTGTTGTTAGGATATAAGATATGTTTGTCACATGTAACTTCCCCTGATAGTAACATTAGTTATGATATGATGTATTTGTTGCAGTTAATGAATTACACCTAGCTTCCCTTAATTTTTAACTCCTACATGTTAGGGAAAACATGCAATATTTGTCTTTTTGTATTTTATTTATTTCACTTAAATCCACCTGCTCTATCCATTTTGCTATAAATGACAGGATCTGTTTTCCTTGTGGGTTTTAAAAAAATCAATTAGCCTAAATATAAACATAGCATAACATAGGAAACTTCTATATGAATGAAATAAGCTGGGGTCCATGTGATGGTTCGGTGATTAAGCCCTCGCCTTGCAAGGGATGCCATATTGGTGCTGGTTTGTACATTGGCTGCTCCACTTCCCTTCTAGCTCCTTGCTTGTGGCCTGGGAAAGCAATAGAGGACAGCCCAAGGCATTGGGACCCTGAACCCACATGGGAGACTGGGAAGAAGCTCCTGACTCCTGGCTTTGCATTAGCTCAGCTCCAGCTATTGTGGCCTTTTGGGGAGTGAACCAGTGAACAGATCTTTCTCTCTGTCTCTCCTTTTCTCCATAAATCTTATTTGTAAGATAAGATCCAATAAAAATTAGCAAATCTTAAACGGAGAGAAAGAAATTGAATCAATATTTGAAAAGTCAAAACAAGCAATGGGTAAATTCCACAAGCAAAAATTTAAGACCAGACTTATAGAACAGTCTAGACCTTTAAAGAAAGAAAACCAAGAAAACAGTGTTTTAGCCCTTAAATGGCTACAACTACCAGGTGTAGGCCAGGCTGGAACCAGCATCAAGGAACAACATCAGGCCTCCCAAGTGGGAGACAAGGGCCCAAGTATTGAGCCATTTGCAGCTATTTTCCCAGGCACATCGGCAGGAAGCTAGATTGGAAGCGGAACAGCCACTAATTTGTTTCCAATATGGGGTGCTGCTGTCATAGGCAGGGGCTTTGCTTGCTGTGCCACCACGTGGGTGCCTGCTGTTCTTTTGGATTCTCAAAACATGCCTGGAAAAACAGCAAGTGTTATCCCTGTTTTTCAAATTAAGACACTGGAATTCATGATCATGGTTATAGAGGATTAGAATCTGTGCTTATTCAAAGTTTTCAACTCCCAAGTCCAAGATTGATTTACCTTTAAAGCTAGTTTTGCCAAATGTAATTTGACTGTCAAGAAGTATTGTAATGTAGTGCTCAAGACTTTAGTCCCGGGGGATGAACATTTAGTCTCGTGGTTAAGATGCCTGGATTCCATATTAGAATACCTCATTTGAATCTTGACTCTTGCTTCCTACTGATACCCAGATGCAATAGAGACAGCTTAAGAAGTGAGGTCTTTGCCAGCCACATGGGAAACCTGGATTAAGTTCCTGACTCTCAGCTTTGGCCTGTTAAATCCCTGGCTACTATAAACATTTGGCAAGTAAGCCAGCATCTGAGAGATCTCTGAGTATCTGTCTGTCTCTTTCTTTATCTGTTTTAGACAAATAAATAATTTAGAAAGTTAAAAATAAATACAACCCAGGAGAAAGACCACCTGGCTTCAATTTCACTTGTGCCGTTATTATGACTTTAAATATGTAAGTTTGAAGCGTTACAATCTTATCTTGCATCAGTTTCCTGGGTGGGGTGAGAAGTATAACACCTAATTGGTCCTCATTAGAAGAGATCATGCATGGGCCAGTGCTGTGGCACAGTAGATAAAGCTGCCATCTGTGACACTAGCAACCCATGTAGGAGACGATGCATGTCCCTGCTGACCACTTCCAATCCAGCTCCCTGCTAACAGCCTAGGGAAAGGAACATAAGGTGGTCCAAGTGTTTGGGTCCCTGCTACCCACGTGAAAGACCCTGATGAAGCTCCTGACTCCTGCTTGGCTCAGCTCTGGCCATTGGGGAGTGATCCAGCAAATGGAAGATCGCTATCTTTTTTTTCTGTGAGTGTGTCTGTCTTTCTTTGGGACTTTTAAACAAACAAACAAAAACATTTATAAAAAAAGAAAAAAGTAAACATACCATAATCTCATGTTGTCTTATTAGTCTCCTGTCTTAATCTACTTTTTTTTTAAAAAAAAGATTTATTTGTTGTTGTTATTGGAAAGTTGGAGTTACAGAGAAAAGGAGAGACAAAGAGAAAGACCTGCCATCCACTGGTTCACTCCCCAAGTAGCTGTAACGGCTGGACTGAGCAAAGCAAGGAGTCCAGGGCTTCTTCCAGGTCTCCCTCGTGGGTATAGGGTTCCAAGGCTTTGGGCCATCCTCTACTGCTTTCCCAAGCCACAAGCAAGGAGGTAGAAGTGAAGTGGAGCAGCCAGGATATGAACTGGGCTCTGTATGGGATCCCAGTGCATGCAAGGCAAGGACTTTAGCCACTAGGCTACTATGCTGGGCCCCTTAATCTGCTTTTACCGCTTTTACTGCTTTTACCACAAACTTGATAAACCATCAAGAAGTTTATTTTGGCTCACAGTTCTGGTCCAAGGTCAAGCAGCTGCATCTGATCACTGCCTTGTTGGCAGCATAGTCCCAAGGTGATGCAGAGATGAGCATCATGCGCTAAAGACCTTGCCTAACTGGCTTTTTAAGCAGCCTCCTGCTGGAGGGAACCCACTGACTTGTTAACCCATAAATCCATTCATGGGGACAGGGTTCAGATTGGCTCTTAATGGGCCCACCTGGTCCTTTCTCTTTATTATTTTCATGAGGATTACATTCAACATGATTTCAGAAGAAATACTTCTTTTAGGTGTACTATTTCTCATAGGCTGATAGTGAATGCAGAGTGTCTTATACAGATTTTCAATCAATCAAAGTAATGCAACTTTAATGTGAAAGATTTTCCCGAAAGCTAGGATTTTCCCAGGCCAAACTAATGACAGCACTCCAGGCTGTGGCTGTGCTGTGCTTGTGTTACCAGGGGAGGAGGGCTCTATAGCAATGCTTCAAGGGTGGGAGGGCTGGAAGTGGAGACAAACCGGAGAGGTGGGCATGCTCTGGAAGCTGTATCACTCTGGCCTTAGCCCAGCAGAAAGCCTCCTGGGATCTGGACTCTTCTTTATTATGTTGGTTTGCGTTTTAACAAACATTCTCTGTCGATATAGGCAAAGAAGCTGTTTCTTCCCAAATAAAATTTTGGTTGTTCCTCTTTGCTTCTTCCATTAATCATTCATCAGCCATTTATGGACATTCTAGTGTATGACAGTTGTGACCAAGTCCTAGAACTGTCTCAGGAGCAAGGAGAAGTGGGCGTGGCAGTGCTGTCGGGCTGAGTGGGTTGATTTGTTGAACTCAAAGCTGCCACTTGCCCCTCCAAAGGGTGGCATCACCTTTTCTAGGGTAGGTCAGGTGTGACCTAATGTACCCTGTTAAAATGCAGATATCTAACCTGGAATAGCAGCTATAAAGCCACTCATGTGTGAACAGGCATTAATTTAATGGTAGATTGCAAGTGGAAAGGACACAAACAGGCAAAGTTTAGAAAGGAGATGTGGGAGGAGGAAGTCCCTGGCTCTTCCCCATACCTTATGTGTTTGAAGGAGTTATAAAGAGAGAGGGGAGCACCACTTACACACATAGTCTTTCATCTGTTAGTTTACTCTCCAGATGGCTCAATACCTAGTGCTGACCCAGACTGAAGCCAGTAACCAGGAGCTTCATCTAGGTGTTCTACATGGATGGCAGGGACTCAAACACTTGGACCATCTTCCATTGCTTTCCCCCAGGCTACTAGCAGGGAGCTCGATTGAAGTGGAGCAGCTGGAACATGAACCAGCACCTATATGGTATATAAGCATTGCAGGTGGTAGCTTTACCCCCTATGCCACAATGCCAGCCCTAGAAATAATGCTCTTAAGCATCACTAATGTGGCCTAAGTACTACAGTCCTCTCTTTGTCCAGTAATCTTTTTAGCAGCAGTTGGAAAGCTTCTCTGAGGGACCAGGCTATCATGTGAGGAAGAGGAAGAAGAAGATAGGGACCACAAGAGAAGACTTACTGGTGGGAAGGATGGAGTGACTCTGCCCTTTGTAAAACCCACCTAGTGTAAATACTGAGTTAGACTTGTAGTTGGGTATTCTTGCAGTTATGAACATTTGAAAATATTGAACTTGATTGAATCCTGTTGTGAGGTTGAATCTTGTAGTGAGAAACATGGTTTTGTTAAGTCACTTACTCTGTTGGCTTTTCAATTTCATCCTCTATAAAGTGGGAGTAAAATACCCCCCACTCTGGATTCTTGAGGTGATTGGTGAATATATGGCATCAACTACAATGCAAGACACATTGCAGGTACCCTGGAAATGGTAACTATCTCCTTTCATTAGGAAAGCCTGTGAATGAATATTAACGTTGCCACCTTGTTATGCTCACCTGCCTTTTCAGGCTATTGAAAACTTTGCCCTGACTTTGAAGACCACTGCCCAGATGCTGCAGAATTTTGGGGCCTTCCTGGCTGTGACAGAGCTGCCCAGAGGCGTGGCATGCACTGAAGACCTCCTTATGTCCCACACAAGACAGCGGGACAAACTGCAGGTGAGCGATTGGGGCTGTTCAGAGGCCAGCCTGCTGGAAAGAACTAGGAGCAGGAGGAAAAGCCCAATCCTCCAGTGATGTGGCAGCCACTGACCATGGAGAACTTTCCAGATAGGTCACAAGCAAAGAGGGAGATCTCTTGAGGCTGGTGAGTGGGAGGTCTGGGGAAAAACAGCTTGTGAAGAGACACACCTTCCAGCTTTGGACTGGCCAGGTGAGGTGCATGAGTGTTCTTGTAGGGGCAGCACCCTCTGATTCTGTGCAGGTTGGAGGAGGGCAGCCTGAGCTGACATGACAATGATGGAGGGTGGCAGGTGGGAGTTGGCTTTGGAGTCTAAAGTTAGGCAGCAGATCAACAAGCAGCCCGATTGCTTCACTTTCTCAGGATTCTGTCTTTTTTTGGAAGGACTAATTTGAGGAAAAAAAAGAACTGTGAAGGTGTTTGGAACTGGGTTGGGAGGGGCACCAATTAAATGATTCACAAAAGCACATGCGAGCCTGCTGAGGAGAGACCTCGGCAGGTTCCTGCAGGCCACGCAATGAAGAGCAGACTTCCTAAAGCGCCAACAGCTTTCTGCCTTGAGAAAGTGCAGGCCAACTGACATCATTATGTCATAGAAGACCACGCCTCCTTAGAGCAGCAGTCTGGGGACTGGACAGCTGGTACTCCTATCCTATGCATCTATACCACACTCAACTTGGGAAGGGATGGACCTTTTTAGTTGTGACCCCAAACTGGTAAGAATAATTTGCTGGATGTTTGATGTATTCATTTATTCAGAACTCATTGAGTATCCTTCAATTCATGCCAGGAAAGCCATCAGAATGCTGCCTCAAGCATTCTGCCTCAATTGCCTAGTCAGGCCAATTCATTGCTCACTGTGCCCGGGAAACCCTGGTGAATTCTCTCAGTAAGGAGGTTGTTGTCCACACAGAGTTCAAAATGTGTTTCCAAAGATGAATCCAAGAAGTCAGAGAAATCTGGGCTGGACTGTGAGATTCTGGCAACATCCTAAAGATTTTTTCCCTGGAAAAAGCCTCTGAGAAGCTAGTTTGATTTATTTCCCAAACATATTGGCCACGTGACTCCCAGGAGGTTTGAGTTGCAGAAAGTGGCGGGTGGATTGCCTCTGTGAAGTCAGCTAGGCCAGGGCAGGCAGTTGGCCAGGTTAGGATGGAAAGGGGTCTGCAGAGCAGTCATTTGTACAGCAGAGTGTGGTGGGCAGGATGCCTGACATGGCAGGAAGGAGCTGTGGACCAGTTCCACATTGAGGCCAGTGCTTTCGCTGCCTTTGTGCAAAAAAGATGGAGACAGACTTCAGTGCAGAATCACCAGATGACGGCTGAGCAGTCAGAAGGAACTCAGAAAACAATGAAAAGATTTGGGCAGGTACTGTGACTCGACAGGATTATTCTGCAGCCTGCAACACCGGCATTCCATATGGGTGCTGGTTCGTGTGCCAGCTGCTCCTCTTCCCATTCAACTCCCTGATTATGATCTGTAAAAGAAGAGGAGGGTGCTCCAAATCCTTGGGATCCTGCACCCATGTGGGAGACCAGAAAGAGGCTCTTGGCTCCTGGCTTTGGATCAGTTCAGCTTTGGCCGTCATGGCCATTTGGGGAGTGAGCCAGTGGACTGAGACCTCTATGAAAAAGAAAAAAAAAGTTTTGGATTTTCCATGAGTAGGACATATATTGGGGATGAAATTCAGACAGTCAGGCTTGACTGTAGGGTGTCCCCAGGAAGGGCAGGTGAGTGAGTACTCTAATTTCCACACAGACAGCGAGTTCTATAAAGGCAAAGGGGCAGGGAGGAGCCAACGTGCAGGTGGAGTGAGAGCATGTCCCTGTGTACGCTGACCTTCTGTTCTCAGCACTTTGCTAGGCAAAGGCGGCAGAAACTTCGTGCAGATTGTGTTGTCAGATGACTTTGCAGATCCATGTAATTTAAAGTATTATTTGACTTTTGTAAGAAATGGTTTCCTACTCTGTTAGATCTCAGTTTGGTTAGGCACCACCATCTAATTAGTAAGACAAAAGGAATTTAGGAGGCTCCTTGTAGTCTCTCATAAACTGAAGTGTGCCGCTTGCAATTACATGCCAGGCTGCCCTGAAATTAGGGGGAGCAAAGCTAGAACTATGTTAGGATACAATGCTCATTGTGCAAGTATTTGCTTTAAGAATATTAAGTGAATTTGGATTAAACTATTCTTTTAAAAATATTTATTTATTTAAAATTGAGAGAAAAAGGGAGAGCTCTTCCATTTTCTGGTTCACTTCTCAAATGTTTGCAGCATCCAGGTTTGAGCCAGGCTGAATCCAGGACCCTGGAATGCCCTCTGTATCCCCCTTTACATGGATGACAGCATGCCAAACACTCAGGCTTTCTTCTGCTGCCTTCCCAGGCATATGAGCAGAGAGCTGGATCAGAAGCAGAGCAGCTGGGGCTCATGGGATGCCAGTGTTGCAGATGCAGCGTCATCCACTGCACCACAGCACTGACCCATTAATTAAAATAGTCTCTGTTTATTTTCCAAGGCAACATTAATATCCTTCTAAACACAGTACTGAGGATTTTTTTTTTTTAAAGATTTATTTTTATTATTTTTTCATTGGAAAGGCGGATATACAGAGAGGAGAGACAGAGAGGAAGATCTTCCGTCCGATGATTCACTCCCCAAGTGAGCGCAACGGGCCGATACTATGCCGATCCGAAGCCAGGAGCCTCTTCCGGGTCTCCCACGCGGGTGCAGGTTCCCAAGGCTTTGGGCCGTCCTCGACTGCTTTCCCAGGCCACAGGCAGGGAGCTGGAAGGGAAGCGGGGCTGCCGGAATTAGAACCGGCGCCCATATGGGATCCCGGGCGTGCAAGGCGAGGACCTTTAACCACTTGCGCCACCATGCCGGGCCCAGTACTGAGGATTTTTAAAGACTTTTTTTGTGATTACAAATTATAGGCCTAATACTAATTTGATTTCTTTGTTCCTTATTATGTAACTTAGAAGCAAGAATGCTAAATATCATTAGAGTGGCAGTTTTTCTTTATTTCATCCAAAAATGATTTAAAGAAGGAAATGGTGCCTTCCAAAGGAAAGGAAGAGAGAGAGAGCTGAGCTGGCTGGCTTGCTGTGGCTAGGGAGCAGGCCTTGTCTGCACACCACTGTTACTGTAAAGACACTGAATCCATCTCCCGAGTAAGAGAACTTTTATTGTTGCAGATCTATAAGGAGAAAAGGGCAAATTATGGTAAAACCAAAGTCAGTCTCCACATTAGAAAGGGGTTTGGCAGCTTGTGGAATTATGGTAAACAGGGTATAACTGATCAAAACAAGAGTGAGAATGTTATAGGTGCAGAGGGAGGAATGAGAAAAGTCCTATGAATATGTGTCTTAGCAAAGGTAGCAAAAGTGTTCAAGGATGGTTGCTGAAACGTCACAGAAGGTGTGTCATACTTTTCTCTAGATTTATTTATTTTTATTTGAAAGGCAGATTAACAGAGAGAGGAGAGGCACAGGAAGAGATCGCTCATCTGCTGGATCATTCCCTAAATGGCCACAATGGCCAGAGGTGGCCTACAACAAAGCCAGGAATCACAAGTTTCTTCTGAGTCTCCCACATAGGTGCAGGGGCCCAAGGACTTGAGCCATCCTCCTCTGCTTTCCCAGGCCATAAGCAGGGAGCTGGATGGGAAGTGGAGTAGCCTGGACATGGTCTGGTGCTCACGTAGGGTGCTAGTACTGCTGTGCTGGTAGGTGGAGGCTTAACCAGCCAAGGCACTAGCTGGAGCTGTTTCATTTAAACATTATAAATTACCGTAAGATACCTCTCTGATCAGTTAAAAGTGATCTGTGCAGGATGCAGCTACAATGCTGAGTGTAGCTGGTTCTGTCCAGTTTTACCAAGAACCAGAGATAGCTCTGCAGGTTTTTAGCAAAGACAACTGTTATGGATAGAAGCAGGTAAATCTTTGACAGCTCATGGCGGCTTGCTGCTCGGCTAGAGGAGGGAGGACCCTTTGTTGCCCACAGCTTCTGCTGTCTTGCTGTGTGCTGTCCTCTGCCAAATGCTGAACAGTCCAGGCGCTGTGCCCTTGGCCCCCTATGCTCCAGAACTGTGAGCCAGATCAGCTTCTGTTCTGTGTAGCTGACTTGGTCTTTGGTATTTTGTAATAGCAACTGAAAACGGACTAATACACTTACCAGATCTTAGGCAAGAAGGTATTTCTGTAGAAATATAGATTCTTCTCCTCAGGCTGAACCACAGTTTGGATCCTGACCCACTTTTACAGTCAGCCATGGCTCTGAATGTCAGTCTTTTATTTGAAAGGCAGAATGACAGAGAGACAGGGAGACTGGGAGAGCAAATCTTTCATTCACTGGTTCACTCTCCACTGGCTGCAGCTGCAGGGACTAGGTAATGCTGAAGTGAGGAACCTGGAACTCCATCTGGGTTTCCCATGTAAAGTACAGAGACCCAAGTACTTGGGTTGTCTTCTGCTGTTTTCCCTGGTTCATTATCAGGGAGCTGTATCAGAAGTGGAGCAGCCAGGACTCAAACTAGGGCTGTGCCATGACGCCTGACCCTTACTGCATGTTTTTAACTGTGTGGAGGAGACACCTAGAGAATGTCATCTCTGCTTGAGGCTCACCTTTTGTGTCCCACACACTGTGCTCATGTTCTGCAGTTCTCTGGTGAATCTCTCTTCTCAGCTGCTCTTCCAGTGTCTCCCTCTGCCTCTTCTTGATCCTTCCTCTTTTCTTTCTAACTGTGTTGCAGAAGTGTGTGTGTGTGTGTGTGTGTGTGTGTGTGTGTGTGTGTGTGTGTGTGTATTTATACGTAAACACACACGATTGACCCTCTGTATCTGCAGGTTCTCTCTGTCTGGGTTCAGCGAACTTTGGGCTGGAATATTCTAAAACCATTTGCATTTGCACTGAACAGGGACAGATTTCTTTTTTTCTTTTGCCATCATTCCTTAAACAATAGAGTATGACAGTTATTTACATGCTTTTATATTTATTAAGCATTTTAAGTAATCTGGAGATGAATTAAAGAATACAGGAAGATATACATTGATTATCTATATGCTAAAAATACATAATTTTATATAAGGGACTTAAGCATCCCCAGAGTCTGGTCTCTGCAGAGGTTGCTGGAACCAATCCCCTATGGTTACTGAGGGGCCACTGGAGGAAAATCTCAGAATGGGCAGTGACAGTATGATGCTGCATGCTGAAAGGCAGTTACAAAACTTAAGTGGGAAAGGTAAGAATGTTTGCTGGAGTGGGAGAAGGGAAGCATCATGAATAATTTGTCTTTATTCACCTGCAGCCCAATTTCATTTATATTGCTATTAATTTATCCAAACTGTAAATATTTGATGAATTATAAAATGAGAACCAACATTTAAGGAAGAGATAGGTCCCAGTCCCAGGCTGACCTGGGGTATGACTGAGAGTGGACATGACCCTAGAGGAGTCACCTGGAGAACTCCGAGGGTCTGTCTGAGAAGTCAAAGGTATTATCAGCCAGATCGAAGCACACTTTGAAGCTGGGTATGGACAATGTAAGCCTTCTGGGAGAAAGACTAGGGTGCGACGAGCCAGGAAATGAAACACTGAGATGGAGTGGGCTCAGAACTTCTGTGCTGAATCAGGGACAGTGTAATGTCAGATAAGGGGAAAGCTGAAGAGATGCAGGGGCTTAGAGGAAAGATTGAGTGTTCTTACACTCAGAGATGGTTTGCTTATCTTGTTTGTGCCTTAGAATTAGGAGCCTATTCCAGCTGTCTAGGGGTATAGCTACCCAGCATGACCAGCAGTCAAACCCACAATTCTGCTGGGAAAAATCATAACCCAGGCTCTGCCATTTTGGCTGGTAGCCTGGGCTTTGTGGTTAAGGCTTAGGGCAATGAGAGGTGATTGTATTATCCAAGGAGAAAACCAGAGCTGTTGGATTTGGAAAGAAATAGCCTTTTCTCAACTGCAAAGCACTAAGAACCCATATTAGAAAGCAGGATGAAGTTGCCACTAGGAGCTTTTCTTGCTAAAATTGTCATCAGTTTCTGCCATCTTCAGTAACTACTGGATGCCACAATGGGGTGGGGGGTGGGTTTAGGTGGTGGAGGGAAAGGCAGGCATTTGTTGCCAAAATTAAATGAGGTATGGTCAGTGGCAGCCAGCAGTTATCCTTGTTATTTCTTTTTAAAAATTTTTTAAAAATTTATTTGTCTTTTTTTTTTTTAATAGTTGGGAGGGATGATCCTAACGTGACTGATCTGCACCATTTTGGCTCTCACTGATGGGTGCTAAGGCCTAGCCCAACCTACCCCACTCCCAGATCCAGAGCTCATGTGACCTAATGGATGTCACAGCCTATCTTGGTGTGTCCCACACCTATTCTGGCTCTTGCAACTTTAACAGGTGCTACAACCCAGTATAATCTGGCCTAGTCCCAGACCCAGCCCACACTAAGCCTTGCCCGGTTTGGTCCGCCTCCAGTCTTGGCTCTTGATCTCACCAGTGATTGCTGCAGCCTAGCCAGGGAGTCTTCAAAGTTCCCCCATCAGGGTCTTGCACATGATGGCAGGTGCTTTGACCCAGCCTAGCATGACCCACTGGCAGTCTTAGCTCTCATTGATGGGTATTGCAGCCTAGCTGAACCAGGCATGGTCCACACCCTGTCCTGGCTCCTCTGCATATCAGTGAGTGCTACAGCATGGTCCAGCCTGGTGTGTCCTTAGACCCAGCTTACATGAAAGCTGAGGAGTACTGCAGCTTGCCACCCTTGGCCTGCCCCCAGCTCAGGCTCTTGTGCTTTCCAGTGGGAGCTGAGGTCTAGTACGGAAGTTTCCCAAGTTCTCTTATCAGGCCTTTTCCTAGGCCTAGATCTCACACGTGCTGCTGGTTGCTACAGTCTGCCCTCCTCCTAGTCCTGGCTCCTGTGAGTGTTGGTGAGTTCTGTAATCCAGTCTGGCTCAGCCTGTCACCATTCTCAGTTTTCACACAAAGTGCTAGGTGCCTGGAGTACCATGTAAGTGAGTCCACGAGTCTCCTGCAGAATCTGCCTCAGATCCAGTTCTCTAATGATCTGGTGTATCTGTATTTCTTAGCAGATATTCTGTATCGTCACTTTCTTAATTATGGCTACTATCTTAGATCAGAAGCAATATTTTATGAATTAGTTTTGCTCCTAATTTATAGATATAGTGAGAAATACACACAAAAACGATGGTTGCCTTTGAGAAAGGCAAGTGGATAGGTTAGGAACAAAAGACAGACTTTTCCCAATATATACCTTTTTGTATATTTTAAGCTTTACATCATGCCTATGTCTTATCCATTATAGAATAATTTAATTGATTAGTTTTTAAAAGCTGAAACTTTAGCATTTAATTTCCTAAGTGAAAACTATATTGATATACCATTGCCTCCGCCCCAAATCTGTCAGAATTTTATTTTTCATCCATCCCTTCTAAGAAATTATGCTTTTCTTTCCATAGGATGAGTTGAAATTGCTTGGAAAGCAAGGAGCCACATTGTTGTCCTGCATCCAAGAGCCAGCAATGAAACACTTCACCAGTAAACTCAATCCCAGTGAACTTGAGAATGTAGCTACCATGGAAAGGTGAGTGAGTGCAATGGAGTCTGTCTATTCAGGAGAGAGCCATAGACTGCAATACTTTCATACAACCAAAGACAGATGAGAACAGCTATCTACTGGTTGTTGGTGAGGCCAAGGAAGAATAGCATTAAAGACAGCAGAGGGAAAAGAGCATGTCCATCTGGCATCTACAGACAGAGATCTCCTTACGAGAATTCTGTGCCCTCCTCTTAGGACAGATTCCCATCCCAACATGTCAAGAAGACCACATTTATTGGGCTTTATTTCCAAACAGTGGTTTGACTTGGTGCTATGCTTTAAACACGTGTGTGGTCTCAGCTGGGAACTAAGGAAGGCACAAAGGTAGAGTCAGCCAACAGCTGTATCTGAAGCTAGGTTTCTGCCTGCAGTGCAGGTGTCCTAAAGGGAAGTTGGGAAGTGTGGGGACTTGCAGAACCCTATGGATGCCACAGGTGACACAAACTTTCGTATGGAGATTGCTGCAATTAGCAACACTGACTGAAAACAATTTATATAGGCTCATATGGACAATGAATACTAATGCAATGCTGCTTTCTTCTTCCTTTCTTAAAAGGTTATTAGTTCAATTGGATGAAACAGAGAAAGCCTTTGGTCAGTTCTGGTTCGATCATCAACTGAAGCTTAATCAGTGCCTACAGCTACAGCATTTTGAGCACAATTTTTGCAAGGTACTATTTTCTTGTGTGATATCACTTCCTTTCCCAGTATGCTGACTTCTGTTTTTTTCCCTCCCATTTAGCTATGGAGGAGATCTTTTCTGTAATTCAGCATTCTGCTCCTCGTTTACAGCCTTGCTTCTTCACAGACCCCTCTCCCCTGGCACCACCACCACACACACACACACACACACACACACACACTTTTTATTGTTGAATTCCATCTGCCTGTTGACATGTGTGCAATGATGATTTGTCTTTCTTTTTTTATGGCTAATCTGGTGAATAAAGCTTTCATATTCCATCTTTACCTTCTAGCTTAATCTGAAAGTTAACTGAACTACTAAATGACTGTGTGAATACATACAAAGCTTGAATCTTTTTCCTAGCACCTAGCCAACCTGTACCTCCAGCTGAACAGCTGCTGGTTAACATCTAGGATGTTTTGAATGTGTCTTACAGGTGAAGCTTGCTCTTGATCATCTGCTGGAAGAACAAGCAGAGTTCACATGCATTGGAGAGAGTGTGATGCATGTGGAGCAACTTCTTAAGGAACACAAAAAACTGGAGGAAAAAGGCCAGGTGTGTTTTCTGATGTGTGTGTGCTGGCAAGGCAGTTGCTGTGGATGTCTAAGCATTGTTATTGGCTGGTTGTCAAAGGATACAGGAATAGCCAGTTACACATATTGGTCCCTACCCCGGGCTCCCATGGTGATACCCATATTAACAACTGTATCAGACTACTGTTAGCATTTGGGTAAGGTTGGGTCTTCGGTTGGAACTCCAAGGTAGCCCTGCCCTCCCATGGGGTCATTAGCCCAGTTGGAGAAAGTCTCAGTGGGCAACTCATTCACAAGATCAGACCTCCAAATCTCATCATTCAGGATAGAGCTCTGCCCTGAGGCCGAGAGTTGGAGGCCAATGTTGGAGGTCAGGGCAGTGGGATACTTTAAAAGGAGAAATCATGTCACATGATATGTCTTATAATTGGAACAAAATGTGTTAACTAAGGAAAGCTGGTCCACATTAGTTCTCTTGTTACACAAAATTAACAAGGCTTTTTTTTTTCTCTCATGCTCCAGAAGTTATAAATAACAGTTTAATATTTAAATATATGTTTTATGAGTCCCATAAGAGAATTACACCATTTTCCAGATTGGCCCACAAATTGGCACATAGTATTCTATTGTAAGTCCTTACAGTTTTGGCTTATTACAATTTAAGAAGACCGTGTCTTTCTTTTTACATGGAAATTCTTTTCTGCATTTAAAAAGATAAAGTTATCTATTTTTGTCCTTTGGGTATTAAGGTTCCTGTGGTTAGCACTTCCTTTCTGAGCTAATCCTAAGACATATTTCCCAAAAGATAATTTTGTAGTATTAGAAATTTGCTTCTCCAAGTGTGGGCCTCTGGCCAGCAGCAGAGATACCGTGTGAGAACTTACCATAGGTGTAGAGGTGGACATTTGGCACAGTGGTTAGGATGCTGCTTGGGGTGCCTGCATCCTGTACTGGAGTAGCTGAGTGCCAGTTTTGGCTCTACCTCTGTTCCTGTCTTCCTGCTGATGCACATCTTAGGAATCAGCAGGTGATAGCTCCAAGTGCTCAAGTCCCCACCATCCATCTGGGAAATACAGTTGAGTTGTGCGCTCTTGGCCTCAGCTATTGTGAGCATTTGGGGAGTGAATCAGCAGATGGGAGATCGCTGTCTATCTTTCTGTCTGTGTATCTCTGTCACCTACAGTCTGCCTTTCAAATAAAAAAAAAATCTAAAAGAACAATCTAAAGAGACTTGTGGAAGCTCTGACAGTACTTCAGAAGCAGAAATGTGTTTTAATAAGATCCCATGGTGATTGACCATGCCATACAGTTAGAGGCATACCTTTGTTTTTATGTGTTTATTTTTAAATGTATCTTACTTGAAAGGCAGAGTTATACAGAGAGAGAACGAGGGAGAGAAGTTCACTCCTGCAGTGGCTTGCAACTGCTGGGGTTAGGCAAGCCTGAAGCCAGGGGCCAGAAGCTTCTTCTGGGTTTCCTATGTGGGCACTCTCAAGTCCTTGGGCCATCTTCTGTTGCTTTCCCAAGCCATTAGCTGAGACCTGGATGGGAAATCGAGCAGCCAGAACATAAAGCAGCGGCTACCTGCTACACCACAGTGCCAGCCCCATAGAGATTTACCTTTCTAAAGGCCTCACTGACTGAAAGAGCTGTCTATTGTAGATTCTGAGCTGGACACACAAGAACCCCCAGTGTACATCATGATCCTGGTGAGTAATGTTTCTATTAAAGGTGATCATTTGAGGGCCTGGTGTCATGGCCTACCTGCTAAAGTCCTTGCCTTGCATGTGCTGGGATCCCATATGGGTGCTGGTTCTAATCCCGGCGCCCCGCTTCCCATCCAGCTCTCTTGTAGCCTGAGAAAGCAGTCGAAAAGGGCCCTCCAATTGGACATTCATTTATCAACAAATATTCCTGGTTCTAGGTTCTGTGAGTATAGTGGTAATCCCTGCTCTTATGGAGCCTACATTATTTGGGTAGCAAGTTAATTAAAAAACAAGCTAATAAAAAATAATATGGAAATGGGCCTGGCGGCGTGGCCTAGTGGCTAAAGTCCTTGCCTTGAACCTGCTGGGATCCTATATGGGCACCGGTTCTAATCCCGGCAGCCCCGCTTCCCATCCAGCTTCCTGCTTGTGGCCTGGGAAAGCAGTGGAGGATGGCCCAAAGCTTTGGGACCCTGCACCTGTGTGGGAGACCTGGAAGAGGTTTCTGGTTCCTGGCTTCAGATCAGCGCAACACCGGCCGTTGTGTCTCACTTGGGAAGTGAATCATCGGATGGGAGATCTTCCTCTCTGTCTCTCCTCCTGTCTGTATATCTGACTTTGTAATGAAAATGAATAAATCTTAAAAAAAATATGGAATGTTGAAAAGTGATACAAAGAAAAACCAAGATTATTGAGCGAGCATTTGGCCTGGTGGTTAATGTACCCATATCCAACTTTGAAGTAACTGGATTCAATACTTAACTCCAGTTGCTAACTCCAGCTTTCTGCTACTGTAGACCCTGGAAAGCAGTGGTCATGGCTTAAGGCTTTGGGTTTTGGATGTAATTGCTGGCCCCAAGCTCTGGTCGGGCCCAATCTTCACTTTTCCAGGCACTGGAGAAAGGAGCCAGCAGAAGGAAGTGTGTTCTCTTGCTCAGTCTCTCCCTCTTTGTTCCTTTGTCTCTTTCTCTTTGTCCCTCTTATAATAAGAAAACCAAGAGAGAGGTTAGAAAGTAACTGGATGTGTTGCTTTAGCTGAAGTGGTAAGGAAAGACTTCCCTGGGCAGGTGACCTTTCATCTGAGATCTTTGTGGCCAGGCAGAGTTGGGGATTTGCACCAAGGCCAAAGAAGCAGCAAGCTCAAAGGTCTTGAGATGGGGGTTAGGTTGGTGAAATCAAAGAATGTTGCTGAAGCTCAGCAAGATAGGAGGCAATAATGTGGAACAGGTGGCCAGGAGTCAGGTGACCACTTTGGGCCCTAAGATCTTTGGTGCGGGTTTAGATTTTATTCTCAGTGGAACTGAAGGTTCTTGGAGGGTACTTTGGGTTTTGTTTGATGAGTTTGTGTAACTACCTTAAATTCTGTCTTCTGTCCATTCTTGGACTTGAGATTCTTGATGCATGCTTTAAAATTACTGATCAGGGCCCACTATGAAGGCTCACCTGGCTAACCTCCCTACCCCTTCACCTCCACAAGTGTTGGGATTCCATGAGGGCACCGGTTCACATCCCATCTGCTCCACTTCCAATCCAGTTCCTACTTATGGCCTGGGAAAGCAAGAGAGGATGGCTCAAGTCCTTGAGACCCTGTATCCTTGTGGGAGACATGGAAGAAGCTTCTGGCTTTAGATTGGCTAAGCTTTAGTCATTGTGACCATTTGGAGAGTGAACCAGTGGATGGAAGATCTTTCTGTTTCTCTTTCTCTCTGTAACTCTGCCTTTCCAATAAAAATAAACACATCTTTTTAAAAAAGAAAATTACTGACCTGAGCTAAGGGTGAAACTAGGGTCATGGGACAATCCTTGTGAACTTGTGACTCATTTTTCATGGACAGAATTCCTGAACTACGAAGTGAACCCACTGATGACCTGTGGAGCCTAACAAGACTGATTTTTACATGTTATGTGCCTGATTTATCTTGCATTTGTTTGTTTGTTGTTTTAAAATATGCTTTCAAGAGATGCAATGTGCTGATGCCTCTGCCTTTGGTAAACCCAGAGAGGCTGCTTTGTCATTACTGGAAGGTTTTCCAGTATGGCCTCTGTCACATTGCTAGGAGGCATTGTTCTTTCATTTGTCCTGTGAAGTATCCGGTGGTGGTCTTTCTGTTTCTGGCTAAAATCCACGAAACATCATGTCTGGGCTTTGTTCTTGCTCATCACTCTGCTTTCCTCCCAATGCACTCTCACTGGTTTGCAATCATTGCCAGCTTCCTTATTCTCTGCCTTGAGATCATCTTTAAATGTAACCTTTGAGGCGACTTATTAACCAAACTTCTGTTGCTTACTTATCTAGCCTGTTCTCTTATCTGATACTGGTTTGAGGTTCTAGGAATCTTGTGACTAATCCTTTCTGATTCCAAGAGAAATTATTTCAACTACTGTCTTCTATCAAAGCAGAATTTGCTGCTGGGTTTTGACTGTGAGGCCTTCTGAGATCTTTGGTAATGGGTACTCAGGGAACAGACTAGGACAGGATAGACGAAACCAGCCTCTATCATCTATGATCTCTCCCCCAAGGCTGACCTGTCTTTCCAAGGTTACTAAGTCCAAAGAAGCAAAACAACCCAGGCAATTCACATCCTAAGGAATGTCACTTGGCTGGAAGGTTGTGGCTTTGTGTGCATCTGTCTGAAATTTTCAAACACAAGCATAAAACAGATAGTTAATAACAATAAACTCACAGCTGTCCATCATGCAGTCTCAACATCCACTGACTTCCTGCTTTTCATGTTTCATTTGGCTCAGCTCCTCAAACACACCTTCTGTTCTTATGGTATTATCTGCAGGGTTATTCTGGATTCCATAGTATGGTACTATGATCCTCTGTCTCACCATCTTTTTCTTAACAGAGACCCCTTTCCTCATTAATTTGCCAAGCAGTAGAGTCTACAGGAAAGATGAGCTATATGAAGATTTCTCGGCTACATGTTGTAACCTGTCTGTGGAGCTTTCTGGAATTCTCAGTGTCTGAAAGAAACCAGAAAGGCTGGTGTTTAAGGCACCAGATTTCAGCCACTTCTTTTTCAGTGTTTCTTTTTTCGCTTTGGAGGTTTTGTTGATTGTTTATCTTGAACAGGAGAGTTAGAAAAACAAAGTGATATTAAATGTTTTACTGTACAGTCTTTTGGTAGGTACCAGAGATGCTTTGTTATTTATGGCTATGTAGTCATTATCCACAACTGTGTCAGTAGGTCAAGTGGGCTGGAAGGTGAAAAGAACACACATTTTTGGAGTCAGAGTTGGATTCAAATGTTTGCTCTAACAACTACCAGATGCATGACCCTGGTCAAGTTTTTAAAGCCTTTCTGAACAT